GCCTTTGGCATCCTCCCAGCCTCCCCAGACACTGGGGTTCCAGGGATTGACATCTGTCCCTCACTTTGGCGATTGGGGGTCAAGCTTCTGTTTCTGGTTCGGCTCTAGGCTGGCCAGCAGTTGTTCAAGTTGCTAAGCTCTCTCCCTCCCTGAGACAGAGATGAGTGATTGACCCCAAACTACCTGGTGACTCACGCTAAAACAGAACAGGGAATCCCTCCTCCCATCCCTGGGCCACACAGCTTCTACTTTGCATGCTGTCATTTAAGAGGAATGAAAAAGAATATTGATCCAGCAGTTCCCACAAGACCCAATCTAGACTAGATTGAAAAATAATGCAGATGGTGGCCCACATACCCTGAAGTAAGTTTGCACTCACTACAAAGAACCACAGAACCTTATAGGACCTCTAATTATAGAACTGGAGAGCAGAAAGGACCTTATTGATGGTGTGGCCCAGCCCAAGGAGAAGGTGATAGAGGCAGTAGAGAGGAGACCTTTGATATGGAGCTGAAAGACTGAATGGTCACTTATGGCTTTCCTGTGACTTTGGGAGAGTCACTTAATCTTCCTGACCTCGGTTTGTTCATCTATAAAATGGGAGTATTAAACTACATGATCTCAAAGGCAGGAGTATGCTGGAGCCATCTCATAGAGGCCGTGAGAGCCGATTGTTAAATTTTCAACACGAGCGTTTACAGCTCAGAAATCGGCCAACAACCAGGACTTGATTTGGTGTTTTATCGATTGCCTGGATTTAAGAAAGTGATGGAGAAAATGTTAAGAATGCCAAGTAAATGTAAAAGAGTCAGGCATACATTTTCCCACCCCACCCCCAAGAGCTTGTTGTTAAATATTTGCCAGCACACTCCTGCTACCAGCTCTGAAGCTATGAGATGAACATTTTTCTCTGGAGGCCATTTAGCAAGGCGCACTTGGTTCCTATTTGAAATAGCCACACTATCTTTTCCGCAATTGTCCCAACAAGATGTTGGTCATATGGCTACTAATTGCTTCTGAATCTTCGCCGTAGATCCTGTAGGAAGTGAAAAAGAACCTTCCCATCCTCAAGAATGATTGGAGTGTTCCATACAAGTCAAGGGGGAATATTCAGGAATCTTTTACTTGCTAATAAAAACTTACTGTGCCTGGTTCTCAGCACTGTGCCTGACACATAGTACCCTTTAATAAATGTTTGTTGACTGACTGTTGGCCAGACTTGTGATTTCATCAACATAGATAACTCCCATGTGAGGAACTCCCTCTATCAATGCAGATCAGCACCTTCTCTTTAATTTAGAGATTTGCCTAGTGTTGTTAAGTGACTTGAACAGGGTAACACAGCCTGGATGTGTCTTCCTGATTCTGAGGCCAGCTCACCCTCTATCTAGCAGAACCTGCTGCCTCTACTGTGTGGGTCATGGGAACATCTCTCTCCCTTCGGGGATTGAAAAAGGAGAATATACAATTTTGAGTTTCAAAGTAGATGTTTTTTGTTTGTTTGTTTTGGTGAGACAATTGGAGTTAAGTGACTTGCCCAGAGTTACACAGTTAGTGTTATGTGTTTGGGGCTGGATTTGAACTCAGGTCCTCCTGACTCCAGGGCCCGTGCTCTATCCACTATGCCACTTATCTGCCCCTAGGCGTCATTTTCTGCCCTCACAACCCCAAATCCGGTGCTGGCGCCTAAGGTCATTGTGTGGCCTGACCAGATACTCCCGTAAGCCCATATTCAGCAGCGGTAAACATTTTAAAATTGTCTGCTATGTCCAAGACACTGGGCTAAGAATAATTAATGATAGCTACGTTTCTGTGGTACTTTAAGGTTTGCAAAACACTTTGCAAATATTATCTCATTTTGATCCTCACAACAACCCTGGCAGATAGATACTATTATTACTATTCCTATGTTACAGATGAGGAAACTGAGGCTTAGATAAGAGATCAGATGACCTGCCCAAGGTCATACAGCTAATAAGGACATGAGAAAGGGTTCAAACTCAGGTATTCCTGATTCCAGGTCCAGCACTCCATCCCCTACACAACCTAGCATCCTTTTGGGCAAGGTACCAAGGTTATGAAGACCAATACAAAAGTCATAGACTGGCTCTGCCCTCAAGAAGCTTATGCGTGAGAAGGGGAAGGGGATAAGATTCCTCTGAGCCTCCAGTTGGGAGTGTCAGGTATGTGCACCCACACATCAGATTCTGTGGCCACCTGGGTCGTCTAAATGTATAAACACAGCTCGAGGATGACGTAGACAGATACGATCTGAGATCTCACCTGCCTCTGCAGAGCCAAAGGGCGGTGACTTGTACCATTGCCGCATTAGCTGGTGGCTTGGGGTGAAGGTGGAGGAGTGGGACCCTGGGGTGACAAAGATAGACCTTCTTTTCTTCAGTCCCCCAGAGGGGTACCAGGCTGCCCCCTCCAATATCTCTGGGCTAGGGCTACAAACTCGATTAGAAAGGGAAACAGCTTCCCTGGTTGCTCTTCAGAAGGGTAGAGAGGTCCTTAGCTTACACTCACAAGCTTAGATCCTTCCCACCAAACCACAAGAGATACCTATTGAGCTCCTTATGTGGGGCAAGATGAGATGTCGGCTCCAACCAAGAGAAAACGAGCTCTCACCAGGGGAGGGTGGTTCCAGCCGTCTCTAGTGCGGGCTTCCTCACCTTTGTGAAGGTTGTGTTCTGGACCCTGGTGGCAGCCTATGGACCCCTTCTCAGAATCATGTTTTTAAAAGCACAAAATAAAACACAATACGAAGGAAACCAAAGGTTCATGGAAATACAAATGTAATTTTTTTCCATCCCCACTCATGGAGCCCCTGAAATTTCTCCGTGGAGTTCTTGGGGGGAGGGGGAGGCACCTGTGGAGCTCAGGTTAAGAAGCGCTGCTCTAGAATGTTGAGAGAGTGGAAGCATGATGGGGCATGTATGTCTACTATTTCCAAGTCTTTCTCCTTCAGAGGGGAAGTGAGCAGAACCAGGAGAATATTGTATACAGTAATAGCAACGTTGTAACAGTCATCAACTGTGAAAGGCTTAGCTATTCTGATCAATACAACGACCCAAGACAAAAAAGGACCCGTGATGCAAATGCTATTCACATTCAGAGAGAGAACTGACGAGCTATGGGTGCAGAGATTTCCTTGCACTTTATTTTCCTTGCTTTTTTTTTTTTTTTTGCAACATGGCTAATGTGGAAATATGTTTTGCATGACTTCATATGTATAATGGATATCATGTCGTTTGCTTTCTCAACAGGTGGCTCAAAATTTTAATAAATGAATGTTATAACTAAATATTCAAAGAAAAGAAAAGAAGAAAAAGAAAAGTCTCCAGGGCATCCCTGGGCACTTGCTGACAGACGGTGACTGGCACAAAGGCTCTGTGCACAGTAGGAACTTTTCAGGTTCACACTCATGCAGGCTTCAGTTTAGGAAGAGGTTATTGTCCCTTTTTGTGTCCTGGATGCCCTCAAGCATCATCATGTCTTGTGAAGCCCACCAGCCCTTTCTCAGAATTGTGTTTTTAAATGCATAAAAAAAAATACATAGCATTACAAAAGAAATCAATTACTTTGAAGGTGTTATCAGAATTTTTTTTTTAAGTTCATGGTCCTTGAGTTAAGAACCTCTGGCTTGGGAGAAAGGAGAAGGCCAAGAACCATGTGGAGGAGACAGCCAATGGAGCATATAGAAAAACATCATTTTTAGAGCCTAGTGTGGCCATGATTACTCACACTGTCTAGGGCTGGGCCAATTCAGGCCAAGCCAGTGGTTCAGAATCAAGACTGGGTATAACATTTAACAAGAGAGGTTTCCTCCACAACAGCATGGAAAGAAGGCTCAGAAAATCCAGAGGGTGGGGTCAGTTGTTGTGTGCCTCAAGGGCCCCCTCCTCAATTCCCCACCGGGATGGGGGTGTGTCGTTTCCATCTCGATGGAGAGTGAAGCCTGAGGAGCCCCTGCTACTCCTGTGCTGGACCTGTATGCACTTCTGATGCCATGGGATCCATTCATTGGCTTTGAGGAAGTTGGGTAAATTTCCAGTTGCCCCATGTTGTAATCAAAGGCCAGATTGGTAGTGGCCACACCCTTATATGGCAATTTAACATGTGACCAAGTTATTTCCTAGATCCTCTAAAATGGCAAATACCATTTAGGTGGTGAAGGGAGATAAATCAGCTCTCTAAGGCAAAGATGGCACCCCTAAATAATTTTTTTTTTGAAGAATCAGTCTGATTGATCCCTAAAAATAAAATGAGAAGGGAATCTCTG